CTGTGGGAATGAAGTGATGCCCATTTAACTAATGAAGAGAGTTTGCAGGGGTGGGGGGTGTTGAAGGGAACACCTGGATTAAACAGACTGCAGTGCAGTAAATGACGTCCAGTTTACTGGAGTTTTGGCAAAGCTATATATATATAATGGATGGATGGATGGATGGATGGATGTAATGGTGTCACGCTTCTGTCCCAGCCTGCCATGCTCTGTTTCCTCATGTCCTTGTCTTTGTTGCCAAGCTCCTGTGTTGCCTGTCACCCATCCCTCATCTCTTCCTGTTCTGTTCACTCCATGCCACGCCCCCTTGACTTCTCCTCTACCATCAGTCCTCTGTTCACGTGTTCACTGCCCTACTTAAGTCTCAGCTCCTCAGTCTTCCAGTGCCAGATTATTGAAAACTTCCCAGTGAGTAAATGTCCTGCGTTCTCGTTTGTCCTCGTGGTTTTGACCTCTCGCTTGCCTCACAGATTCTTCGTCCTGCCTTGTCTGTTTTGGCTGGTAACGACCTCTGCTTTCTCCCCAACAACCACATCTGGATCACAAACCAAGTTTGGCTTCAGACCTCTGATCACACGTGCATGAGCCTCGCCTGTTTCTTCAGACCTGCTTTTTGGATCTCCCTCATCACTGCTCACTGCTCTGCATCAAAGCCGACTCGCCTTCACCAGCGGTGACGTCACCCTTACCAACAACTTGAACGTGAAAAGTGAACTGTCCAGCCAGACGTCTTAAATACTTACAGGAGCTCACAAGTTGAAATGCTCTTCTAGTGTGAAGATGTTAAAATGACAGAATATTAGAGGTAGATTACAAAAAAAAAAAAAAAAGTAAATTTAGTTTTTTCGTATTTAGAGAAAAGTGTTGGTCACAAAAAGTGTACTGAAGACTGTTTTAAAGCTGCACTGCAAGGAAGTTAAAAAGGTCATTGGAGATAAACTCTGTTTATACAAAACAGTATCGTCAGCATACAAGTTGATGTTCGTTACCAGCAGCACGATTAATGCTGTTTATATGCATTCATAAACAGTTTTATGCTGTAAATTCCTCTCCTTTAGTGGTGGCACAGAGGTTAGAGAAAATGAAGTTCAAATCCCTTTGACTACAACATCAGTTTGGGTGGGAAAGGTGAAGCTGTCTCTACTCTTATATGCCCTAGTCTGGGTCCCCCCACATCTGGTCCAGCTGCTCCCTGGGTGCACTAGAGGCAACCCACTGGGCTCTGGTAGCTCAGTGGTCTGTGGTTGTGTCAGGAAGGACATCCAACATTAAAACAAATCTGGTGCGACCCCTGAAACAGAAGAAAGTTCACCGGTAGGATTTCTTGACATTGGCCACTTCCTCAGTCTAGTGATGGTATGACATGCTGAGGCTTATCTCTGTATGGTTTGTAACATCAGTAAGGACCATTTCATTTATAGCAAACCACCGATGTTCTGTTGGGATAAGCGCTGTGTGAGGTTTCAGATCATGGGATCATAACAGGAAACTGCTTGACCAAGTTCTCCATGTTTCAATGTTCACGTTTCAAAAGAGAAGGGAGGGGTTTTGTTAAATCACGTCGTGTTGTATTTTTCTGTTCCCATGAGTTGTGCTTGTAAGTGGGGGCACTGCCCACCAACCAGTGGAGTAGACAAACAAGACCTTGGGTGCAGTCGATTTGTCTGGACAAGTGCAGGGATTTAGAGCCACGGCAAGCCATGCAGGGAACGAGTGCTAATTGTTTGCATGCCAACTAATTCCCCTCAATCCCCTTCTCTCAGCTCACTCCATTCACCTCCTGTCTTTGTCTGCTCTGTCTTGAACCTGACATGTCGAACTTTAGGGAACGTGAGACTGAAGCTTTCATTTTTGTATCTGTTTGCAAGAAATTTTGGACTGAAAGGTTGATCATTCTTTAGACGTCAAATTGTATAAAATTCTGACTCAGAATGCATGATTTCATTATCCTTGTTAGTTCTTCTAAATATGGATGTTTCTGTGGAGGATGAGATGACAGGGTGGGGAGCAGATTCAGGTGGAGGGGTTGCACCTTCCCCTTGTACGTCCATTTTCTGGTCAACAATGAGCTGAGATCACACTGATTTACGACAAGTGGCTGAAACAGTCTGGGAAAGTGGCTTGAGCCAAGTGCCACCCCGGGCCCCGTCCTCAGTAAGGACCCTCTGCGCTCCCCTGGCATCCTGATCAGAGGATTAGGCCCCAGTGGCAACATCGAGTCAAGAGAGCGTCAAAGAAAGGAGAGGTATGCAGGCAGCATGAGGTACATGCTGGTTTCACACGCACCAAAAATCCATTCAAGAAGGTGAGCAGACGTGTATCGAGGGGACCACACACTCACTGCACCAGTGGGACCACCCCCCTCCCCCAGTTGGAGTATCACAGTGCCGCCAAGCGTTGATTGCACAGAGGAACATAAAAACATAGTCTAATAACGTCAAATTAAATGGACTGTTTGAAGCGTGTTTCTCTGCTTTTTCAAGAAAATTCCAAAATATACAATAAAGTTTAAATAAGACTGTTATTTTATCACCAACATTTTATACAACAAAATAATTTGCCCTGTTTTTTTTGTTTCAGGATCTTAAGAAGAACTTAGTAAATTTGAAATGGAAACAAGCGTTCCTTTAAAGAATGCTTGTCGCCCACTGCGCGTCAATGAAACTTTATTTTTAAGCAATACATGAAAAGAAGCTTTCATAAGTTGCCACACACCAACATAGACGTCTGCTCCAAACATACTTTTCAAGTTGTTATGCTCACAACACGAGTGGAGGGATAAGGTATATTTCAAATTCTCCCTCTTCAGTCCGTGATGATGGTGCATGGCCTGTTGGTGCTCAGAGTATGTATTTGAAATGACTCTCAGCTACTACCACACCTAATTTTAGCTCAAAATCTGTAATAATAAATTAGTTATAATGAATTTTGTGCTTGCTAAGGTCAATTAGGAGTAACCACCATCTTGAATTGAATCAGCTCTAAAAGTTCATCAGTTGTAAACATGCCTTTATTCGTTAGGGATTTTCACTGGTTCATAAGATATTTTGCTAACAAAAAGAAAGCACATGGAAGCTGCATTTGGAATCAGCTTCAGTGTGGAGTCACTTCTACAGAGCCCAACAAAGGTCAGGTGCAGAAATAAAGCCACTAGGTGCTATTTTTCATAAAAACGGCATCCCTTTTCCTTTTTATGCCGATGACTGTCAAATATACTTCACTCTGAAGCCACTGGTGCACGTTCTATCTAACTTCTTCTTGACTGCCTGGTGGACATCAGGGACTGGATGGCTTTACATTTCTTAAACTTTAATGAGAAAAAGACAGAAGTCATGTTGTTTCCACCTAATAACACAACCAAGAGCCACTGTATCGACCTTTGCTCTCTAGCCCCGTTAGAGAAACAATTTGTCACTAATCTGAGAGTGAAAATGGACCCTTCCATGAAACTTAACTGTCATGTAAACATGATTGTTAAACCCTGGTTTGTCTGTTGTTTCAGTTGAGGCAGCTGTCTAAATTGAAGCCCACACTGTCAAAAAAGTAAACTTGAGACATTAAAACACGCTTTCATAACATCCAGGCTCGATCACTGCAGTGCACTTCTTTTTGGAATCAGTCAGATCTTGTTGATCTATGTTTGGCATGGTATGGTATGGTTGGTTTGGTATGGTATGGTATGGTATGGTTTGGTATGGTATGGTATGGTTTGGTATGGTATGGTATGGGTATGGTATGGTATGGTATGGGTATGGTATGGTTTGGTATGGTATGGTTTGGTATGGTGTGGGTATGGTATGGTATGGTATGGTATGGTATGGTATGGTTTGGTATGGTATGGTATGGTGTGGGTATGGTATGGTATGGTATGGTATGGTTTGGTATGGTATGGTTTGGTATGGTTGATATAAAAACTCCTTTCCTTCAGTTAGTAAAGACTCACTCAGCCAGTGATGTCTTTGTGCAGCAGGTGTTCAGTGCTGAGTGTTTTTTTTTTAACAGGAAATAAAGTATGCAATAGGTTGGTTGTTACATGGTCACCTATGAGAGCATCTTAAAAAATTAGACACTGTTTTCCAAAACTTTTATCCACTAATGTGCAAATGGACTCAATAATGCGGACGATTGTCCAGTTGGTTGTCCAGCTTGGTGTGTGTGTGTGTGTATGTGTTTGTGTGTGTTCCTGCTTTGGGAGTTGCAGGTTGGGCACACACGGCACAATATGGGCTTTAATTCAGACCAACAGCCGCTCTGTCCAAAAGGAGGGGACGAGGCAATTAGCCCCGGGCGGGAGGGAGAAGGAAAGAACGAAGGGAATTGTGAATTTGACACATTAAATGGTGACCGTCATTAGCATGCGGTTGTGTAGAGTTGTATTCACCGGATCCTTGAATGCATCTTGCTTCACCACTGCGACCACACCCCCCCCATCTCTGTTCTCAGTCTGTCCATCATCCCTATGGCCACCTTTCAGTCGTAATCACCCTGTTTGGCCTCTGTTTCTTTCAGTTTCTTCGTCTTTTCTGATGCTTTCACGGGTTTTTATGCTGCCATGCTGCCTGGAATGGAGTCCCCGGGATCCCTAAATCACAACAAATTAGGCGGAGTAATTAGACACAGGAACAAAAAAAAAGTGTTGGGCACTAGTTTATAGGTTCAACAGCAGTCACAGCATGAGCTTATCTTTCCTGATTCACAATATGACGTTGACACTGTTTACAGAACTAAAACAAACCTGTGGATATGGTCCAGCAGCTCCTGCAGAG